GCCGTAAGTAGTTGGAGGAGGGTGGGGAAAAGTCCAGGGGAGTGGTTGTGGTAGCGTTAAGGGTATTGATTGGGACTCAGTCTGTTTGGGAACCGCCCCGGTGTTTTTAGTTGCACCTAATGCATTGTTTGCAACTTCCTGCACTGAGTCACTACCAGTTGACCTAGCGTTATTATTGCCCCCTATGCGATCTGATAGGTCTATGAAGGCAGGGTCGTTTGTGCTTTGCTCCTTTTGTGGAGGCACGTTCCCTGGTGGATGCATATTAGCTTTTTTTGTGTTCGCTCGGGTATTGTAAGCAATTTGAGTGCGTGTCATTCAAATATATGTACAAATATATAAAAAAAAATATTATTTACGACGAAGAGAATTAAAAATTATTCTTGGATCGATATTGACTTATGCGATTTCATAAAAACGGGGGAGGGCTAGATGACGTTCCGGGTTTTGAGGATCGGTTGACCAAATCCTTTTCGGGGAGTGATTGGAGCACTGATCGTCGTTCCTGCGAGCAACAATATGCCAGTTCGGTGCAAATAATAAAAAAAATCTAAGTTAAGAAACATTCAGAATCAATATGGTTATGCATCGTTACTGAGAGTTAGTTGCGGTCATAACGTATTTTTAAAATTCAAAGCAGCTTAATTACTTCATGCACCTATTAGGACTTTGAATAAAAGCAACAAAAAATTTACATCCTGAAACTACTTTCCAAACAAAAAAATACAAAGAACCATACAAAAAATGCATTGTGGATGGAGATGCAAATAGTTTGGACTATTCATATCCAGCTATGCCATCTTAGGGTTATTGCCGGGGTCTGGTCATCCCACAACCCTCTTAATACAGATGCGGTTGAACTTGCGCACTAATGCTGAAAGCAAGCCATCTCTTTAGGAGGAGAATGCAGTCCAACCGGACCCTTTTATTCGAACGATATAACAAAAAAATACTTTTATAGGCTGAAATAAATTTATATACGAACTTTGTATGCATGTACATATGTATGTGTACCTATGTTCGATATGCGTTTTCATTGCGCTGCTTAGGGCGAGGCCCACAGCGTTATTTCCCAAAATACTTAAATTCGCAGGCGCCAATTTCAACCTATGGCGCTAGTGTTATTTCCGGTGGTTTTTGTTTGGGCGCCATTTTATCTTTGTCGCGTACACGTGTCGCCCATTTCAGACCACCATTGTGGTTGCCCTGGCTAGCTCAGCGATTGGTTGGTCGGGATCCTTAACCCTTGCCACAATGGTGCCGGGCGGACGTGG